AATGCAGGTGTTTAAGTGCCTTTCTCTGATTTCATGCCAAATTTGTAAAATTTATTTAAGGCCATATTGGATACAGGTTTGGATATAATTGGGGAAGGAAAGTGGAAATAATTACATCATATACGAATTATTTACAACATAAGACAAGCTTAATCCGATTAACGTTTAAACATACATTATGCAAGAGCTACATCTGTCAATTATTAATTAGACATTAATTAACTTATCCAAACCATAATCAACTCTAGATGATTGCGGATTGTGAGCCGATTTACTGCATAACTTTCCTTCTCGATTAAACGATTAAGTGGACAATCGAGACTATGCTGTTTAGCGTACTGACTTTAGTAATGATGACAGAGGCTAGGCAGAAATTTCATTCGCTTAGTTCTCGGTTCATAGTGGATCAATTTGAATGAAATTTTCAGCAAATTGCCTTTACGCTATCTAGTTTTTAATTATTATAGTGAGAACTGCCAACTCGTTATCGAATCTCCCATAATGTATCTTTAAGTGTACGAGTAAAATTCTTATTTATAAAGCTCCTAACAAATGCAGATATAACCCTGTTAAAATCATAAATGAAATGACATGAAGTGGGGTTTAACGTCCTAGTGAGTGGGCTAATGAAGTCAAAAAATATGCCATACAGTGTGCTATGAGGGAAATCTGCCCAGTCAGCGGCACTATGGCCTACTCTTATATCGAAGATATACTGCCAAGGGATCTTTCACGTGCACGCCAATGTTACACGAGGCCCCGGTTTTTCGTCTCATCCGAATGGCTAGACGATTTTCCTTGTCAGGCCCGCCGTCCTGCACCACTGACAAGAGGAAAGAAACCACGTCGGAAAATCCCGATGAACTTTCTCGGCCAATGCAGGGATCGAACACGCGACCTCCGGGCTAGCGAGCCAGCGTCTTACCTACTTAGCCACCCTGGTTCCCAGTTAAAATCAAATATTTAATTAACATTTCGTTGTTTTGCATTATAACATTTTACATAATATTTTGTTTGAAGTTGGCATTCGGGTCACGTGAGAATCTTGACTAATTAAATGGTATATATGGGTAATCACGGGACAGTCTATATGTGAATCATTATACCGTCTCAAATGTATTATAGTGCATAAAACTGGTCAAATATTGGCATACGGCGTTTTGAAGCCTTTATCCTAGTCCAATGCAATTATTTTAGTCTCTTTGGTACCTTTTTCCAAAAAATACAATTAAGCATTTCCATGTTTAAGTACACGTTTAGCAAAAGGAATGTTAGGAAATCTTGGAATTTTCCTTTTAAAATCCTTGAATATTCATAATATTAGGGTTTCTTTTACATTTTAATGGCTACAAAAGACAACCAAGACAATAATGTTATGCGTCAGTCACGATTGTCGGGTGTGAAATTATCTCAACCATCGAGGACTTATACGAATGCAATAATTTGCCGAATTTTAGTGAGACACTCTTACAGATGATGTTTGTTATAATGCCCATCTAACGAAGCCCTGTTCAGTTAAAAATGAACGATTTTTTTATTTTCAAAGAACAGTTCATTTTTATTAAAAGTAACTTCTTTTTTATTATTATAAATAATTTTTATTTAATTGAGCTTGATGAAAACACTGGGTCAATATATAGGAGACTTTGCAATGGTTAAATTGCTGTCAAAAAATTTTGTATCACTACGCCGTTAATTAATCAGGTTCAGTACACGTGAAATCTATAGCAAAGATTTATATTTATTTATTTGTGCATGTAAGAAAGGATTGTGTGATAAATAAAATCTCCTAATCGTCTTTCTTGATATCAAAAAGTATCAACATTCGTCGATAAATTTAACTCGGTAGAGCCTTGTTTTGGGGGTTTTTTTTGTTTTGTTTTGTTTACTTTATGGACTTGTGTTGATAATTTTTGATATCAAAAAGACTCGTAGGCGATTCTCTATTTCTCACTCTCAATGAAAATACGCCGGAAGCAAACGTAATTGACGTTAAACCCCATATCCTCGCTCTCACACCCTCTCCCTCTCTGAAACACTAGTTTAAAAGAAAATACGTCAGATGCAAATGGAGTGCATCAAGAATAAAATAAAAACCACCATTGACATCTGACTGTAATCCGATTGTTATAAGTAACATGTTGCTGAAAAACTCTTGAAAATTAGTTTTCTTCGCCAAAAATTCGATAAACCTATAAACTGCAAAAATCCAAAGAGAAAGGTCATCATTGAGCTGTAACGAATTTCTCTACTAGTTGTACAATATCGCACCATGACGTACCAATGAAAGAAATTACATAGGAAATACAGTTGCCGTAAAGCTACTTATTGAAAGTAACACTGCTGCGTTACTCATTGAGTTTCGTTCATCTGTCTAAAAGGATGCTTCAAATTACTTGAAGGTAACGTTCCATGGGTAGTTAATGAATATGGCTTATTTGTCTACAAGGAAGACACAATTCTATAATTGGGTGGTCTTATTAGAAAACCGTTAACTGTGTTTGATAGAAGATATTTAACATAATATAGACCAGAGAAAATATAGACCATAAAATTTCCTAATCGCTGTTCCATAGGTGTATGAAATCAACAAAAGACATTGGTCTTGAACAGACTTTAGAGAGGATTAGCAGCTGACGACATGGTTACTAAACTTATAAAACCCACCTCAGTATAATCATAATTCGACGCAGTCAAGGGATGCAGTTAAATACAATATATCTAAATCATAAGTTTTAAATTCATTATGTCGATAAATGCGCCATAAACGTAAGAATGGTCCGTAAATTTCACCGGAAAAGCTTCATTATTGTTTTAAATAATGCAAAAATTTACCTGTTGGCATAATTACTTGCATTATTTAAAAAAAAATATTATGAAGCTTTTCCGGTGACCACTGGATACTGTACGTGTATCCCAAAAAACACGGTTGCGTCTCTAAAAATATAGACCATAAAATCTCCTAATCGCTGTTCCATTTTCACCCTATGCTAGACTGGTCTTTCATTCACGGCTGGATTTTCCGGAAAATCTCCAAATTACAATAAGCGAAAATAGTCGTTGGTGGATTTTTACCTAAGTTATACTTTTAAAGGTACTATTACTTCACTTTGTGGTATAAGACCCTTTAATTCCTTGTACTTGATCGGTGATTTGGCATAGTGGTTAGATTTGGATCTACTTGGGATATAAGTCAGAATGGAGTATCCCACGAGGTTCTCTTCATACAAAAGTCACCAATCGAAAGCGAACTAATCGATGAAGGAATTTGGTTCATTCATATAATGTGTTGCATTATTTTGTTTGTTTTTTGTTTTGGGATTATTTTTTTTGGGGGGGGGGTGTATTTGATTAGATTTGAACGTCTGTTAACGAGAATAACCTGCTTTCGTCTCTTTATGACAAATATAAGCTGTGGTAGTAAGTCTACAGTGGATTTTATTTTTTCTCTTGTTAAGAAAGTTGTAACGAGTAATGTAGTGTTGTTTTGCATGTAGTGCGGTCCTCCAACACTTACTATTCCAACCAACTTATATAACAAACAATGCACAACGAGCAAAATATGTAATTATGTATTCAAAAAAAGCACAAATCCAATGCCAAAAATGCTTTGAACTTTTATTTTAATAACAACATAGAGGAGTTCAAAAACATTATCTGAGTAAAGTATATCCATTTAACTGGGCCCCGTTTCATTTATCGATTTGCTGATGAAAAGATGATAGAGATAGTTGAAATATTATAGACAATTATAATTAAAATAGCTGGTACTGTTTCGTTTGGGGATGGTGGTGTGGAAGCTGTATTAATCATACAGAACAGTAGGACGTTAAACCCCCTTTCATTTCATTAAACAATAGGCGTACGGAATAGGCGTAAGAGAAGCTGGCTCGCTAGACTGGTGGTCGGGTGTTCGATCGCTGCATTGGCCGAGAAATTTCATCCAGATTTTCCGGTGTGGTTCCCCCTTGTCAGTGATGCAGGACGGAGGGCCTGACAGAGAGAGAAATGGGGTTTAACGTCCACTCGAAACAAATTAGGTCATTTCGGGACTAACATATGGTTTAATTTTATTTCAATAATTCGCTTGCGCGTATGGGTCTTTAGCAGTGGGAGCAAACCGGAAGACCCGGAGAAAACCCACGAGATTGGATAGGCGACCCTACTCCTTGTCACGTACAACCGGGGATTTGAAACCACGCCAGTTGACTCAATGACAGGCGTTATGATACAGCGCGCACGAACTAACCATTCGGCCAGACAACCCCCTAGGGCCTGACAAGGACAGTTGTTTAGTTGTTCGGATGGAACGAAAAACCGAGATCCCTTGTACACATTGGCGTGCACGTAAAAGATCCCTTGACGGTTGGAATTCGATATAAGAGTAGGCCGTAGCACCCTGTCCGGGAAAAAAATCCCTCATAGCACACTGTATGGCGTATACCCGTCTTTATTAGCCCAATTCAGAGCAGAACGGTGGACGTTAAACCCCATTTCATTTCATTTTCCTGGGGGTGGGGAGGGGCTGTATGATTTTTGCCCGAAAAATACGGCGGTAGCGCCAGAAAAATAGACCTATAACTTTACCAGATAGCGCCCAATCAACAATCAGTAAATTCGCTTATAACTAAAATGTATACATCAACTGATATCATAGTGTATTATTCATCAATTACACAACTTGAATCAAAATCAGAATTGTGTGATTTCCTGAAACTCTGTACTCCGGTTGGAAATTGCATCACAACCCACCATATTCCTACCCTGGCTCGTGCGTCTATGGTCAAAACAAAACCCCGTATTGTATTCCGGCTGGGCGGCGGCTGAAATTTTTTTAAGATTGATAACACATAACCACCTTTCTGCACGCCTAACAGTGCCTGTAGCCCAGGCGAATACACAATCCTAATTAGGATCTGGCGCTTTAAGTTGGGTTTGTACACATAACCTAACCAGATCATGATATTATTGAAATATATAGCACTGAAATATCTACGTACCTTGAGCAAATGTATTAAATTTACAGAAGAAAGCTCCTAATATCCACCCGTCTGTTAAATTGTCCAAGAGATGAACCCAGGAACAACTTAATGCCACAAGTAAATCTGAGATGGCTAAATTTACTATGTAATAATTAGTTGTAGTTTTCATTCGTTTGTTTCTTGCCACAACCAGAATGACTAGAAGATTGCCCAATAAAGCCAATACTATAACAGGCACATAAAATCCAATCTTTAAAACCATTTCCCAGATAGGAATTGTCCGAAGTTCTTCAGGATAATTCCTTTGGCTATAATCAATCGCTGCATAATCCATATAATCCCCATCTTCACTCCACAGTCCATCCGATATATTGATGGCTGGCTGACCAGTGGCATTTTTTCCATTTGAAGAATTTATCCAATAAATATTAGATTTATCACCCATTTTATCCATGATTGCTGTATCTACAAAACAGTTTCGGGAAAGTTTAGGTTCGCTCGAGTATCTTTAATTGAAATTTAGTTGAAGACTATCTGTCAGAGGTGACTGAATATGTCATATACAAACCACGTAACTTCAGCTATTCTCGGTTAAAATTTCTTCAAATTTGTGCAAAGTTTGAATAAACTGAAATCTATACTCGCATGATATTCCTCGCTGTCCCAAAACAGACGGGGGACTTTATATGGCTTAAACTAGCATTATCACAGTAACCGAACCAAATCTTTCTGTCGCAGCAGAAATTAACCACTTTCCTTCGATCTTTTCTTCACAGAATTTAATATTTCGGAGAAAAGTTGTGATATGTTTCTGTTTTGATTTAGTAGAGGCGGTTCCCCGTTGATTTTCTTATAAAATATTCATCAATTTAATCAAAATCCCAAGCAGGTGATTCTTCTTATTCATCAATTCAAACTGTTTGACTTCGCTACTGGTGATTTCAAAAATTCTCCTGTCAACAACTTACGTGAATCAGTTCAGATCTGAAATAAAAATGTATAATAAATAATTAATAGAAAATTCTTTATTATGGAAACCACAATGTTAAACCTAAAGAAGTTATTTTCCCTTGGAAATTAAATCATGCAGTTCTGTCCCTATAACTGATGAGAGCTTTTTGCTGTATCCTTTAGCGATGCACTATCATAATCGTATAAACACGTGAAATGAAAAGCGAATTAATTCCTGTAAACATAAACATCCGTTCATCAGGCCCGGCGGAGTGGGGGGGGGGGCTAGGGGGAGCTTTAGCCCCCCAATAATTTGGCCGCAAGTACTCTTTTCTCCAGGTTATTGCGGCCCCTGGACCCACGCCTATAAGGACCTAGGATGGAAGCCCCCCCCCCCCCCCCAATCAAGAATTGCTTCCGCCGGCCCTGGTTCATTAATGAATAAATTGTATTCTATAAAAAGATAACCACAAGACTTGCTCACTTCGACCTTGATATTTATATAAACAATAAGCTTTTAGCGATGATTAATCTTGAGCCGGAATATATAGTCAATAGTAAATACGTGTTATGAATAGATTGTATATTATTCATTCTTGATATATCGGTGACATGGTAGACCTTTTTCTTCTTTCACTTCCAGTAAATTATACGCAATTGAATAAGAAATGTAAAGCACGTCCGCACTTTGATATGGTGGTGTTTTGTAGATAATTACTACTTTTGATAAAATCAAAATATGCAAAAGAATACAAATGAAATTTAGGCGAATATAGAAACCAAACACCATGGATGTCTGAATATCGACAGAGAAAAATATAAAAGAGTCAAAAACGTATCAACTTTGATAAGATTGTATGTTCTCGTGGAAATACCATTTAATTGTCTGTGTAGTCTAAAAGTGCCGTTCTTGGAAATTCTTTATTTATATCAAAGGTAATATATCCAAATATGCACATCATCACTATGCTCTGGAACTAGTACAGCGAGACATTGCCGTCTTGCAATCCTGAAGCTAACAAACATGCACCAAGTAAAAAATACCCCATCACAAGCCGGGTGCATTAGTTCTATGATGAAATAAAACTTTGTAGTGGCACACGATTCTTAGTCACTGTTTTTCATTAAGAATTTATTTATTTCTAAACAAATTGTAAACCCTCCCTCTTGTATGTAACTACATGAATGCGACTGTACTAATTATTAGTGTTGTGAACACCGTTTAGAAGATTGAATGCAGATTGGGATTCTGGCAGAATCAACTTCCAGGGTCTTATGTAAGTCAACTAACTTTTGACTACATAAAAAGTTAATGACGATTTCATGTTAAGTATATTAATGCCCTTCTTCGATAAAACGAAGTATCCAATTATCTGAAGAATTCAAGTTATCTCTAAAATAGCTTAGTGGGTTTAATTATAAAAAGCCAATTATTATGACTATTAGTAGTTAGTACTTATTCTATTTAACAACTTACCTCCTTCTTCTTTCTTTCATTATTCTTTCGTAATGATTTGTCTTTTATATTGCTTTCTACGTATATAAGCAATTTGTCTTTTATGACACGTGTTTTCCTAATTTCAATCTAGCAAATCAAGTGATACGTTGTTATTGACTCCTGTATCACTCCATCCTATGATATACTGTGTTTATACCCTTATTTTTACCATTTCCTCTTCTACATTATTGCGTCTAAAGCCAAACCTATCCAATCAGCTATAGGCCGTTACAAGACGCTCAGCTACGCCTCTCTCATTTACCATCGGTATATATATAGCCTACAACTGGCTCATTGACTTGGAAGAATAGTTCAATGCACTTGTGCTGATTTATAAGTAATGTTAGCTTTCATACAACGCACATGTATTATTATTATTGTAGGGCTTCCAGGTACAGGCCCGGAACCAGAAAGCTTAATTATTTTACCAAATATAGTGATATCAATTAATGCAATATTTATCATAAGTCTTCAATCGTGTTATAACATTTCTCTAGTTATTAATTCACCAGCGAGTCCTACTCGCCACGTTGCTAACTGAAACAGATAGAAATCTTCGCCATCCGAAATATCTGACTAATTTCTGGCACGTGCGCTCGGTTTGACGTGAATGGAACTGAAGGGTAACTGATTGAAAGAAAACATACAAGTAGAAACCAATGTCATTATTTAATATAAAATCTGATAACATTTGTAGGCAGAAGTAATTGTAAATAAGACGTCACTGAAAAAATAAATACAACTACGTCATTTATCACAAGAATTCATGCAATTTAAATTGGTTTATAATAAAGTATATTAATTTAACTTAACCCTTCACTAATCAGGCGCGGGATCCAAGGGGGGGGGGGCAGGGAGCCGCCCCCCCCCCCCCCTAAGCCTCAGTGAGACTGTTCAGATCAGCTGATACAAGTTTTTTTTTTCTTTTCAAAAGATTGATATCTTCGTCTTGTCATGCAAAGTAATACAATGGGTAAGGTCAGAACAAAACGCCAGTGCTAGTGTTAGCGTTTGTGTTTAGTAAAAAAGATAACCTGGGCCCTTAATCTGATATCCAGGTTAGCAAAAGGATTACACTTTGAGGCAAGCAGTTAAAACTTTATGTTTTACTTTATTATTTACCTTAAAACTTAATACTAACTCACTGTTTTGACATTAACCAAACTGGTAACATTGGGGCTATACTATATACCGGAAAACACCGGAAAACACCCGGAAAACTACCGGAATTTTTTTTTTCTTCAGAAACAAAAATACCAGAATACCAGAAGCACCAAGGAAGACCATCAGCGCCACCATCACCAACAAACAGTGAATTCGCCTTTGTATATAAATCTAATGTATTGTATGTATTTTTAATAAAACTAGGAAATATCACGAACTAACTTTTCATCATCCTAGGTCAGTGCTTATGTGGAGACTTAACCTCTCCCCAAATTCTTAAATCTAACCCTAACCCACCGCTGATCCTCTGGAAAACACCGGAAAAACCTAACCCTAACTCCCCGCAAACAGAGGACCAGGCTCTGGGTTACCTATTTAGGGTGTTTCCGGTATTTAGTGTGTTTTCCGGTATTTATTGTTTTTCCGGAGTTTTCTGGTATTCCGTATAATGTGGTGTTTTCCGGTTGTTTTCCGGTGTTTTCCGATATATAGTATTGCCGGTAACATTGTCTTAGCCTTTAATTAAGCAAGTTAAGAGAATCCAACACTAGTGTCACTTCTTTTTTGGCTGAACACATTTTTTGAGGTCAAAGGGTAGGAAAAGAGTTACACTAATGCTACACTGTTTTTACCTCACCCAATGTCTCAACGAAAGTGTGTTAGCTATATGGATTCCTGAAACTAGAAATAACATTATGTGTTCAAGAAACAGTAAGCATAACCTGCCTCGTTTACCTTTTCAATCCTACAATTTGAATGTCTTTCTTGCGGGGTCATTTCTCTGTGACATACAGAGTTATATTGTGTTATACTCAATTGAACGTGTACTGATCTACCAGTACCGATTTAACGATCATCGGCTCTACACCTAGCTTGAATGAGGAAATAGCCTGCATACCATTTCCCTCTCTAGGTTTCTTAGTCAGACCCTTAACATAGGAGATAAACATAGTGGTATTAACACTGTGAGCGGGTTAAAGTAGCAATCTATGCTTGAGTTGTAGTCTAGACATATTACTGTTCACTACGAGGGAACATAACCCCACGTAGAATAAAATATAAACATTCCAGTTTAGGGTGTGTTTGATAGGCTGTAATCGAGTACTGGCTCCCTTGGTATTAATATAATTCTCAATGCCACCCAGCACGATGGTTTCCAATATTTCAGCCGGAAGGTCCTTTTCACTTTTAAATTACTGAAATTCTCCACCAGAAGTTCAATAGGAGAAATCAAACTGAATTGCCTGTTTGGGAATGAGAATAAACGCTTATGACGTTCACAAAATAGACAGTGCTGAACAGTTCTTCTTTAGCGAAAAAACTAGAAAGCTACAACCGTTAGGGTTTAAAATTAGCTAAAGATGCCTACCCCCCTCCCCTCCCCAACCCAACCCCCATCGGAACCTTGATCTATTATCAATTACGACAAAAATGGATATTGGTCATTGATAAGGCACATACAATAACTTATTGGCGATTAACATGTTAATGACTCTTAAGAACATATTTACTGCCTTTCAATTGCAGATAAACTATTCCTATTTCAGTGTGTGTGTGTGGGGGGGGGGGCGAATGGTTAGCAATTGCGCGCTGTATCATAAGGTGTGGCATTGAGTCAACTTGCGTGGTTTCGATTCTTCGGTTGTACGTGTCAAGGAGTAGGGTCGCCTGTCCAACCTCGTGGATTTTCTCCGGGTCCTCCTGTTTCCACCCACTGCTAAAGACCCCTACGCGCAAGCGAATTATTGACATAAAATTGAACCATATGCTTAATAAATACCATTCAAATAGATGTTTAGAGTTCGAATTTTGTGAAATAGTGGTAAAGCATGTAATACACAAGCAAAGGTTGTGTCCGATGCAGATAAAACTTATAATATGTGTTAAGGTTCAAAAGATCTTAGATGAATTATGCAATCCTTCTTTTAACGCAAAATATGAAATATGTAAAAGTTGTGGACCCTCTAGAGCCCTCATTTTTGACCGATTTACATGAAATTTGAAGGTTATGTCAGAGATCAAAACATTTCCCCTTTTCCGAAAACCTTGTAAACGCAATAGAGGCTATAATTTTTAAAATATATATCTTTTTCAAATTTGATACGATACATTGGGTTCATAGTGGAAGAACCCAATCAATAAGACAATGGATGAAGGTGAATTTTTAAGTTGAACGACGAAAAAACAGAATTTATGATAATTGGCTCTAAAACGCAGAACAATTTTAGTTTACGAAATGACAGTCGTGTTGGTGATGCCACAATCTTCTCCTCTGCTTCCGCTTGAAACATCGGAACTATATCTGACAGCCACATGTTTATGGAATCACAAGAAACTTAAACTATCTACC